TATAAATTATTAGCGCGCGGCCGCGTGGTCAAAAACATGGCGGATTTTGGTGGTCAAAGTCAGCGGAGAGACGCGGGCTCATGAAATAAAATTTTGTCGCACCCTGATTTGCCACACTGATAGGGAGTATAGAAAATATCAAAACTATTTATTTTCTAACATAAACACTTTAAAACTTTATTTATTAAATGGCAGTTTAGGTTTGCAAAATAGCGAAAGAAAAGGAACATTTCTTGACTCCGGTAAGTAGCACAGTATTAGTTTTACTATTTTGTTTTTAACACGATACGTGAAGAGTGTTTCTACTACTAAGTTTTAATTTAAAGTTATTTGGTCCAGTCTGTTTGTTCTTCATTAATCGCTCATGAACGTGGCGAAGCTGTCAATTTTATCGAGTTTTGCATCCATCTTGTATCATGATCAAGGCATCAAGCTAAACTCTCCTGATTTGAATTGAGTTTACCTCCCAAAAATGGGGCATAATTTGTTCATGTTTTTTGAAAGATGAGGAAAGTTTACAACAGAGTTGTGTTGAAATTGAATGCAGTGCCATGCAAAATTAATGAGAACTATGGTATATGTTGTATAATAAAAATAACTTTTAAACTGTTTGCCTGCTCAATTTGACTGACTGTATAGTGTAGACAATTGTAATGGGATTGGAAAGTTGGTTTATGCAAAACAGTATTAAAAACTACTTAGCGTTTCTGTAAATGAAGTATTTATTGTTATAGTAAACAGGTTACTACTTCAAAACCAAGATAAAAAGTAGTGTGTTGAATAATGTGCTAAGATTTGTTTCTACCTTGAAATTTTGTTCAACAGTAGCTTATGATTATATCATTTATGCATGAAAAAATTAAACATATTATGTCTCATCTATCAAATCCATACTTGAGTATGATTCCAGGTGATCCACAAATTCACATGGATGCATTGGATTACAATGAAGTTGAATGTAGAAGCAAAATAGATGGAAGAAATTCTTTGTGTCTTATGAAGAATTAGTAGAAATCAATAAAAAATTCTCTAAACAAATTGTAAACAAATTTAAATTTGCTCATGGTCAAACAACCTAGTCAAAGAAGTCTGTCTTCAACATGTGACCTTTCAATTATTTGTTTCTTTGTACAAAATATTTTTCGAGAAACTTGATTTGTAAGTCTTTCATTAATATTTTTACCAAGAGATAAAGGAACTAATTCAAAGGCTTGATGTAAAATACAAAGATTTAACAAGTTGTTTATCATTTAATTCCCAAATGTTAGTTTGTACATATAAATAATTAGTATTGGTAGCTGTAAGTTGTTTAAGCAAAACAAGTAGTAGTGCTCAGAAGGGTTAGCATTTTTGAAAAATTATATCTTGTTCATGACATATATTACATAATTCCAAAAAACTGTAAGTAATGCACAATAATATCTATAGAACTTGATAAATTTCTTCGCCTACACATCAAATAACTATTTTGCCTTCATGCAGCAATAGACAGTGTTTTTTGTCAGAGAAACCAATGCACTTTAGTTTCAAGTTTGTAATTTCAATGGAAAATTAATGTAGTTCTGTTCAGTAATAGATCAAGATTCTGCCAAGCTGTTTACAAAATACAAATTACCAAGCAACAGTGTCATGGTGTTTTGAATTTTTTCTTTTTGTAGCTCTTCTAGTTCAACATACTTTCTTTATGAGTTTTCAGTAGATTTATCAGGTAATGACAATACACTTATGATACTTATCCATGGTAAATTTTCAGTTGACTTATGTCGTAGGACTGAAGCAAACATTTTCTCGCTTCCTAGGAGCATTTTACACAGATTTATCCATTTTGAAGCAAGAAAAATAGGTGCACAAAACTGTTTACAAACAGTCAAACACACAAAAGCATGAAATAATGTATAAGTTTGTAGAGATTGACAGGTCTAGTAAAGAATGCCGTTTGATTTTCACTTTAAAGGCTAAAATGTCATAAAATAACCTATTACATCCAAAATATACGTTTCTCTACCGTCGATCTTCTTTATTTTGATGTGTGTCTGTATTTGTTTTCGCAATGCTGAAGCATTATTTTCACATGATATGCTGTCGGTATCGTAATTGTTTTTTCTCACTTGTTTTCGTTCATACAAACAGTATTAGAAATCAGGAGAGTGAATATTGAAAAAAATTTTAAAGTGATTTGACCACCAAAATCCGCCATTACCGCCATGTTTTTGACCACGGGGTCCAGGCCCCTTTGCCCCTCCAGGTTTTATAGAGCTCAATGATAATAACTGGAACGGCTAACTTTACTGGGGCGAGGATGCCAAAAAAATGGCGGCCAACAGACGTAATATTTCCGCTGAAATGATCCTTTGCAGAAAAATAATATTCTCGACCTCCCACAATTGTCTATAGTAAATTATAAAAATTTTCAAAACAAGATATCACAGAATATGGATATCGTTAGTTCCATATTCTGTGACGATTCTTTGGCATTTCTTTTATAATGCCAACACTTCAATCGTTCAATTGTTGGATATCGTAGTTTCCACAAAAGGAAATATCGCTTCTCACAGGTGAGGTAGTTGTTTGTTTTGTTAGTCTGTCAACGATTGAAAAGCAATTATACATGCACTTGAAAAGCCATAAAATACATATTAAAGATCGTATTTTTAAATTGACTTGAACATAAACATACTGATGTTTTCCTGTTTTGTCTATAAAATTCTGCATACTTTTTCTGTCATTTGTTAATGCATGAAATCGTAAATTTTTATCTATTTGCAAAATAGTTTCCTAAAGCAAAAAGACCCTGCACACATTTTGCTCTGTGAAAGTATCAAAAGAAATGATCAGCCCCAACAGTACCCATGATTTGGAGCAAGCTTGTTATGTTCTATTTGCTGACAACATGCAGGAAGACCAAGGAGTAAAGATGACTGGAAGATGTTATTGACCAGGCAGAGTCTTAAAAAATGATACTGTAAAGATAATTGATTTATTGTCTTCCTTATCCAGAGTTATTTAATTTGATCATGGTCAAATTCTATGGATGGAGACAATGGATTCACTAATGATGCCTTGAATGCTTTGAAGTTAAAGTTCATGAACCAAAAAAAGATGGCAAGAAGGTTGTGTGTGTTTTGATGCTTAATTAAATGTCAATTCACAACATATAAAATGGAAGCCATAAAGTTTGTGTCTATGTAAACATTTGTACTGAGATTGATGATGACTCGATGCAGATGTGAAGCATCAAACTGTATAAGCCATTGGGTTTTATATAACAATGTTTAAATCATGTCATATCTTTATCAAAATATTTTAGTTGAGTGTTGTTTAAATGTTACTAATATCTAATGCACTATACTGAAGCATTAAAGATTCAGTGATGAAACCTTTAAAATTACTGTACTGTATATTTCTTATATATTTCTTATATTTCTTTAAGAAACAGTTTGAGCTTATTTACCTATTAGAGTACAGAATGGAGATTTATCATATGCATCATTGCTTTTTTAAATAAATGTTTTTCACTTTCAAAGCTTTTCTACAAAAATTTTTTCTTCTTATTTCTTTTCATGAGATTGATGATATAGAGGTAATATAATCAATAACTTTTATAATTTCTAGAAAGCTTTTTAAGCTTTGCCTTTTATTGCCTTGCTATGAGCCTATCATATGCATTTCATCATTCATGTATGAAGAAGCACAAATGTGGATACTCAGAGAACAAAATGCACTACCAACTGCTTATGAAATTTATTATTGAAGTGAAAACTGTGTTAATCATTCAAATTGTGCACTTATATTGCAAATATAGGAAAAACAAAAAGTGAAAAAGAAGGTAGAAGTATTAAAACTAAAAATGAATTATAAACACCATTGGAAGCATAAGTGTTTTGATGATTATTTGCATTTTGCCCAATTTATATATCAATACAACAAAATCAAAATGTTACAACTTTACAAGTATTTGATGCAGTTGCACTTCAGAACATCACAAAAGGTTACTTAAAAGTAATTTCTATACAATATTATTTACAAACCTATGCAGACTTGAGTCTTTTTGAAATTTCATATGAAACTCAATTACAGAAAATCCGTAAATATCCAGAGATTTAATATGTACTTTTTTAAAGAAACAAGTAAAAATCCTACAATTGTGGCGAAAAAAGCCATTGCCCATTGCATGAAAAGAAGCAAAATAGCAATGATAACAAATAAGCTAACTTCTCTCTCGTGAACCGTGGAGATGAACTATGATATACTTTTTTGTATAGACTAAAGAGTTTAATCGATCAAACAAGTTTGACGCTGGTAAGAAAACGACGCATATCTGCATTCATAGATGTGTAGCCGACATATAGCTCTTTCATCAATAGTTATAAATACATCCTCGTAGGAGCCGATAACTGGAAAGCTAGGTTGACTCGCTGTTACGAATTGTAGGTTTTTATCGTGATTTTCATCAAAAAATTGCTTGCCGAATCCCAAATACACACATACATTTTTTTCACTCTTTCCTCAGGAGGGAGTGGGAAATTGTGAAATTTTCGGAAAAGCGGTCGATTTCGGTAAATCTCAGCGGCAGCGGACGAAATCCGCCATTTTTTTGGCATCATCAGATATCTAAGGCCGCGCTTGAGATAGCCGCTCCAGTTATTATAGAACTCAATGAACACAACGCGTAGTCCAAAAACTCAAGCGCATTTCTTCCATGCACTTTATTGTAAAAGCCTGCAAACCAAAAGCTACGTCTTACAGACAAATCAAAGAATTAATTATCGAAAAAAATCAAAATTGCCGAAAAAGTAAGTCATGCTCAGCATGACAAGCATGACCTCTAGCTACGCCACTGGATATTCTGTCCACTTTCTTCGTGATAGTTCTGGCCTAGGGCAGGCAATTGCATATATTAGACCAGTTCAAGCTGATCTAGATTCTTCATCCTTGGAAACGGATGATCATGCTCTTGCAGGAGGTGCTCCAGAAAACAAGGTACTGTTTTCATTGCTTTGAGTAATTTAAGGGATAAATTATTATACAAGAAATTTTATAGATATACATACATTGTTTTTGCTAGGATATATCTATTGCACCAACAGTGAAATGCTTAAATTGCTCAGTGCAGATTTCAATGAACTCAATCAGGAATCATATGGTTGAATGTGGAATGGATAATCACCATAAACAATTTAAGAAGGTCATGATCAATGTATGCTATAAGCTTGCATTAATTCCTATTACACATTTACTGTGAAATGTCACACTGTTTTTTTTTCACGTACTTATTTTGAAAATTGAATGAATAATTTTTTATCCGGCAAGTTTTTCTGGAACTCCAATAATGTCTGAACTGCATGAAATGTTTCCTGACCTTCATGATACTGCCATAGAAGAAGCTGTAAGAGTTTGTGAGAGAGACATTGAAGTGGCAGTTTCATCATTGTTGGATCACAGTAAGTACTTACATCATTATATCAAGTTCCATGTATGGGATTATCAATATATTTTGGTCGTAGCATAGACTCCATTAAGGCAGAATGGCGGTGTGAAAAGACAAATATTTTATTTTTCCTTTTTTTAATAACTACCTCCAGATAATGAATGAATTAATGTGTTTATACATGTAACTTCAATTATAAAGGCAAAGGAATATTACTTAAAGAGGACATGCCTAATTATGGTGCTGTTGATAGCGCAGACTCAGATTCAGAAAATCTTCAACAGGCAACAGCAGTTCTTCTGCAAGAAGGTACAAAAATGTAAGAGTACATACATGCTAGTAAAGCACTCATAAATGCATCATAATTGCAGCATTTATCTTGTTATTTTCAAAAGAAACGAGTTGTAAATGATTTGACATAGTTTTCTTGATTGCTTAAAAATGATGCTGCTTCATGCATGATTTATAGCTTGTTGTTTTAACTGGCAATATGCTTATGCAGCTCAATTTAGTCTCAATATGAATAAAGTTGAACATGCTTATTGTGTGATTTTTGCATGTTGTATTTAGGTGTAGAAGTTAGCCGATATTGAAACGATGCTAGTCTAGGTTTACTTCATTGTACTACAATAATCATTTGACTGGTTTTTCTATTTAAGAACAAAAAGAAGACGCATTGAAGTATCGAGATGCTACAATTATTACTGACAGTCCAGTTTTTTGAGTTTATGTCAACCATGGCAGTGACTTTGCCAATAACATTTTGAGAATTTACAAAAATCCACAGTAGTAAAGTTGTGTGCTCGGTTCAGTGTGAAGTTTGAAAACAGAACTTCAGTTGGCAGTGGTCCTATGCAAGAATTTTCCAGCCTAGTAATGAGAAATGATTCCTCATGGTTTTCCACTGGATGGTGAAGAAGGCCCAAAATGACACCCTAAAGGAGAAAATGACCATAAAGTTCCTGTAGCCAACTCATTATTTAGAAGTACATGCTTCTATAAGTGCATTGGAAGAATGATTGCACATTATTTCCTACATGTTGGATCACCACTATTTGCAATTTCTAAAATATTTGTTGATTATTTGTATGTGACAAAGATGAGACTCCTTTAATAGAAGTTTTGGATATACCTGACATTGACCTGAGGATTGCATTGAACGAGTTTTGAAAAGTTTTATTGCACCTGAGCATTGCTCTTAGTATTTTTTTTGAGCTAATGTGTTTTATGACATAGTTGAACAGCCTTGGCTAAGATGAAGCTCCTGGAACTGCATTGAAAGATGTTTTAACTCATTACAGAGATGAAGCTTCAATTTTAGATACATCATTCTCTGGTGCAAATCGTCATTTTATTGCCCAGTAAATCATGTTACATGCTGTCATTACCTGTAGAAAATCATAGTTGCAAGATCTAGCTGATGGAATGAATGAGTTTGGACTGGTTGATTTTCTGAAGAAACATAAAGATGTTGTTCAACCACAACTTTTACCACAATCAACTGCTTCTCTTATTAATAAAGACGACTTAAAAAGAATTATTGAAATTGAAGAAGAAGAAGGCCTTCATTGTACTCAACTGATTTTTTTTTTTGAAACAATACATTGATCTAATTGATTGGACAACTAGTGGTAAGTGTTTTGGTAGAAAGATGCAGGGAAGGTTGTAACTGGTTGTAGTCAGTTTATGTATGTGTTTTTCGTGTGAATATGGTTTGCTTTTTAATATTTGCACCACAACTGATTATACATTATATGTTGGAGCAGCAGCAACTTTATCTGTTTGAACAATATCAATGTCACTATTATTTTCTTGCTTTTAAATTGGACCTTTGCTTTCTCCAAAAAAACTTAACTGTTTGACTGTTTGAGGTGCTAGTTACATTAATACTTTAATACCTGTCCATTCCTAGGGGCAAATCTTTTCATGTTTTGTGAGTTCACAATGTCACTCGTCTTCGTGGTGCAGTCTGGTATTTACAAACTGAAGCACCTCAATATATATGTCAGCACCATTATGATTAGAAGGCCTTAAAAGATTAATGGTTCTTTGCAGCTCATCAAGATCTATTTTATTCAATAGAATGTTGGTTTCTGGAACAATCACTTGCTGCTGATCTGTTTCATGACATGCGTAATTTTGTGTAAAGGTGGAGGAAATTCTTGGTTTACCTTAGTGAATTGGAACATTAAATTAGATTTTTCTTTTAACATACATCAATTAGCTTTGAATCCTGTCTGATGATTATAATGTAAAGCGTAGTCTAAAAGTAAATTCATGAGTTATTGCATAAAAATACCTGCTGTATATGGTCATTTGAATTATTGGCTAAGCAGGATCCTTGGATCCATAGCTGTTCAGGTGATAGATTTCTTTCTGTTCTTATGGGAGATCTATTGTAACCTTCCTGGAAAACTTCCAATTTTCTGTTAATAATTGGACAAAACACATAATGCAATGAAAACACATGCTCTTCATTTGATGGATCCATTATTCCATTACTTTCCATATGATAGAATAAATGATAAAAAAGACTTGTACAACCAACAAAAAGATCTTGCCAAAAGCGCTCAATCCGTTGGTTGTGCTTAGAACAGTATCAGCTCGAATGTTTGTGCTACAGCGAATAAATATAAGCAAACGTGAATAGCCGTCTATTCCTGCATGAGTCACAAATCTCCATCTAAAAATATGAAACTACTAGCACACTTGTATGCAAAACTGAGATTTATTAACTCCCCAAAATAGGTATTTTTTAGTAGCTTACCTAATCAATTTGTGATTGCCATCAACATGCCAAAGTGATAAGGGGCTAGTAACATGATATTTTCGTCTGTGCACTGCTCTAAGAGACAAAGC